GTCAAGGACCATTTTTTTCAAAATTTTATCCCACTGACCATCAGCCAATTCCAGCGGCGGTGGATCAATCTCTCCGTTCAAAGGCCAGCCAATGGAGACATTATTCGTGCTGAAAGAATGTCCATGGTCTAGAAGAGACCGTGACTCATCTATTCCCAGGGGCTCATGGTCTTGAGCTGGATGCTCTCTAGGCTCCAAGTGCCCAATAGTTGGAGCATTAACGTTTGACTGGCTGACGTTTAGGATGAAGTTTCTGCAAAGTAGGGTTGCATTGAATCCTCCATCTCTTGACAAGGCAACCCGGCTCCAGCCACCATTAGAGTAGGCCATGACGACTAGGCCCCAAAGGTCAAGGCGTGCTGCTGGCAAGTTGGAGACAATACCAAGAGAAGTAAATGCCTTATCAGCTTTTGAGCACACTCTGTTTTCGCCTAGTGGAGAACGGCATGCCCAGAATAATGGAAGCCAAGAACATTCACCCGATTCATCTTTCCTTTTGCGGTACCAAGTATGGGCGACTGGAAGAGATTCTTCTATGACAAGTTGTCAATCTTCTTTTTGGATGGTGAAGACATATTGTATCTCTGGCTTTTTGTACTTTCCACGAAGTAGCTTTATAATTCCGCTTTGCTTCTGGAGAAAGAAGTCTTTGTCTTTGCCATACCAGGCTTGTGCAACTTCATCGTTATCAAGCCAGGTATTAAGAATCTTCAGAGCTTCAACACCTGAAGTCGTGGCATAGCTAAGTACGCTGCCGACATCGACGACCATATTCACTGTTATATTCCAGGAAAAAGTTGCTGAAAAGAAAACTATATTTTTTCTTCTGTCCAGTTGAATATTGTCAAATATGATAAATTTCCTGTTTCTCCAAAGAAAGCGTGCCGATTATATAGCAAACAATAATAAAGAGACCTTTATATTACAGTTATCTTACGTAGTTCTGATCATTTAGATGACTGAGAGATTTCCATGGTTCGTTATACAGGCAATCGACCCAAGTGTATACATTGATTTATCAGCTTTAATTTACTGGTGTAGCAGCTACGTTCACCAGAGACAAGCTAATCAAGGGTCTGGATGAGTTAATAGAAGTTGAGTCATAATTAAGTTGTCTGGAGCTCGGATTTGGCTGCATGCAAATGTGTTTGTTAATTAACCATGGCCAGGCATTCCCGGTTGGTGGTGGAGACCTCAACCTGTTCCCGCTGAATCCATAATTATATATTTAAGATAATATGGGTCTCCACAAGCCCTTATTCATTCAGCAGAGAGTCACAGTAGCACTTTTCAGTATCCGTTAGAAATGGTTGGAGTTAGGTGTTTATCCCAGTTGAATCTCATAATACCTGTCTGAGTGTATCTATGTTGGCTCAAAGGGCATAAAAAGGATGGGTCATAGGAGGGAAAGGACTCCCACCTCAACTAAGCTGATATACCTGTGGTACAACTTCACAAGCTTCAGGCTGACAAGATGCGAGATCTCCATGGCCGTCTAAAATACTACAATTTCCAGTTCCATGGCAAAGTGTCTGAGCTTCCTCTCAGTCTTCTGGCTTGTCATGACAAACTCTAAGTAGCCACCGAACACAGTTTAACATGTCCAAGTTCGCGCGTCATGTCTTTGGAAGCATGTGCCACCCGCCAGGCCTGATATCTTTTCCGCATGGTGACCTCACAGATATGTAAAAATCAAATGAATATGCTCAATAGCACAGATAATCAAAAATAATCCAAAAGTAGGGATCTCTTGAAGCATCTTACGTTGAGCGGGCTCCCTAAGTTTGGCTGACGGGGTCGCCTTAGTGGGCGACTCTGAAACTAGGCGAAAGGGTCGGTTAATCAATTAAAGACCCAGCTTTATAGGTCATCAAATATAAGCAGCGACAAGGGACAGGGCTGAACTCAGCACCCTGGTCTTTATTAATTGCGTGATACCTGCAGGGGTCCCTTTAATTTATGTAGGTGCGGACTAGCGCCCGCCGAGTTATATCATCTGGATAGTAACTGCGCAGCGGTCAGCCTATGCAGTTCTGATGATCCCGAAACTCCCCGGCTGTACTCTACGCTCAATGTCTGCAAAAATGCCCATTGCCAAGATTATACCAACCTACAGCACCGTTTGGTAAAGGGTCCCGTATGTGTAGATTACGTCCAAGTTCCGAGTTGGCAGACCCATTGGTAAGTATCTGCTAACGCAGCCTGTACTAGAAGCTGGCACCAGCCGTAATGGGAGGCTGGATAATGTTGTATTCGTGCCTGATCCTGCTGGAGTATCGCAAATCAGTCTACAGTCTGATATTGTTATATTTCTTTCCATTAGTGAGGTCTTCTATAACAGGAGTAGGATAACTCGTTTTGGGCAGGCAGCAGGCAATTCAACTGCTACGTCAACTTAAATATAGACCTTACGTTGCTTCTCCTTGTGTAAGGCGTACATTAACTAGATTGGTCATGCGGTGCACAGCCCCCTAAATTCCCTATCTAGTGCTTATCTCACAAGATTACCTGAGGGTCATTCTTCAAGAAGCTGGAGCAATGCATCAGCACCTTTCTCACTAACTATTTTCCCGTACGGTATAAATAGCTAAATATCAGCCCAAAATCAAATAGTCCTATTGCCACGGGTCTGTCTGCGACATTAACTATACAATCTTCAGTTCCAATCCATTATGCTGCTTCTCAGCTTCCTCTCGTTGCTCGCTTTAGCGCCCTATTTCTCAAAAGCAACGGCAGCATATTCAACTATATCTGATAATGGAAGACTTGCGCCGTTGAAAAGAGCAATAACTGCTGCCCCTAGCTCCCTCATGGTGGAGTATTACGAAGCCGGGCCCTCTAGCGGCCAGACTGTACTTCTGGTTCACGGATTCCCGTATTCAATCGATGCCTTCGTTTCAGTCGTACCTCTACTTGTCAACCAAGGCTATCGAGTCATTGTGCCTTACCTTCGCGGCTTTGGTGGAACCAGATTCCTCTATCCCGACACCTCACGCAGTGCCGAACAAGCTGCTTTGGGGTACGACATCATTGCACTGATGGATGCCCTTCATCTCGACACTGCAATATGCGCGGGCTATGACTGGGGCACTGTTGCTGTGAATGTCGCAACAGCATTATGGCCCGAACGATGCACTCGCATGGTGGCGGCCAACAGCTACCTCATCCAGAACCGTTCCACGGCCTGGCAGCCCGGTGATCCCAACTCGGAGGCCACAAAATGGTATTACTACCTTCTTCTCACTCCGCGTGGGGCAGCAGGTCTTGCTGAAAGCCCCAAGAAATGGACAAAGACGCTATGGGAGAAGAATTCCATCGGATGGAATTTCACTGAAGAGTATCTAGACTTAACAGTCACTTCCTTGTTCAATCCAGATTATGTTGATATTGCGGTCAATTTCTACCGGAACAGACTCTTATATGCACCTGGTGATCCAGCTTTCACTGATTTGGCAAATAAGCTGGACCATCAGCCTCCCATCACCGTTCCATCTGTGACCCTGGATCCCGAGAATAGTGTCGTTTTGACGCCAACTGACGGGTCAGCGACGGCAAAATATTTCACTGGGCCTCGCTGTCATTATTTGATTCCTGATGTCGGGGAAAATATACCATACCAGGCGCCTGAGGCGTTTGCCCGTGCGATTATGGAAGTTTCGCGTCTGAATGCTTCAAATGCCAACTGTGAAGCTATCTTTTAGTCTCATGCTTTTTCTAAGTCATCGCAATATCTGTCGTCACATTACAGGTTACTACGATAGTTGTGTGAACACGCCCATGATGGTACAATTGCTAGATTGCAATGCGCGCAATTGGGATGAAGATATGTCATGGTGAAATGGCAAACGGTTGACTCCTTATTCTTGTTGCCTATATGCAATTCATCTGACTAGCTAGTGCTGCTCATCGGGTGTCCGTGTTGTGTTGCTTGGTGTAGAAATTCAATTGAAATAGTCCCCGATAATTTCACTTCAACAGCTCTGATTCTCTGTAAGGCCGGCAATTCAATCGTGCAGAACTGCGGCGAACCTTAAGCACATGCTAAGTTTACAGAGAGAGGGAAAAGGCATGTACAGTGGGGCATAATGGATAAATATCCCAGGTTGTGGAACACACAATCCACTACTACGTAGCAAGTTTCTGCGCATCTTGGAATAGCGAAAAGTATGACCCATAGACCATCCTGTAAAGGCGGAGTTATAGAGTGTTCGTCTTGAGGGCAAGAGAAGAGGTAGCTCTAATAATCCATTAAATCCTGCGGTTTCCATATCTGGCAAAAGCTCAATGAAAGTACCATGAGGAAAGGAGTAAGCCAAGACAAAGGGAATTAAGCAAGCCCGAAATTATTGGCTACTATGGAGACCACCACGTGTCGACTGTGCAGGCCAGTCGTTCCTTGCACCGAATGCAGAACAGTCCGATGTGACCGCGCGTTCCTTTGCGGGCCATGCTCCAAGTCAGATCTTGCTTGTGTGTACAGTCATCTGCTGCTACAGTCGCGCGCGAACCATTATTCCGAGCCTCCAGTTCATCGTCCCAGAGGCTGTTCGGGTTACCCCCGCCATTCTGATCTGCCATCACAAACGGACTAATTTACTTTGACGACAGCAACCGTTGCCCCGACAGCCAGGGCAGCCATTTACCCAAGGTCCATCTGTCTTTAGCAGTGAAAGCTATGATCCTCTTGCCAGCACATGTCTTTGGCAAACACCCTTGTCATCGAGCTTGACTGAGAGTCTTTCCGGCTCGAAGCATTAGTCTACCGAGGCGGCTGTTCTGGACGCTGGTCCCTGGCAAAGGAGTTGGACCGTTTCGAGCGACTGCAATTTCTCCGCTGCGCTCTCCCATGGCCTGGGGCCGGAGTTTGAGGATCTGAGGCCCCTATTGGAACGGTCATGAGAGTTCGAGAAGCAAAGAGTGACCCTGGATCGGTTGACTGTGGGACTGTGATCGCTTGGTAGACCTCTATATGATCACCTTTGAATTGGTGGGCAATGTCCATGTCTCGTCTTTTCTCCCAGAGTACCGAAAATATTGGCAAGACCCACGGAGTGTGAGTGATTGTGTCGTGTGGAAAATGCTGCTGGTTATGGCAGTGGGCGTATTTTTCTGTCCTGGCTCTGCAGCGCTGCAGTCGCGCGCCGCAGCATGGATCATGGGCGGCCGCCGGTGGCTCGCCCGTCACAGCGTTGAATGTGCCCAGTTTGATCTAAATACGGTTCAGATCTGCTGTCTGTTGTTTGTGAACAGCCAGACTTCCCGAGAAAGAAGCGAACCGTTTGGGCTGCTCAAGGAGACCCTGATCTGCATGGCAATGAAGCTGGGGTTCCCTCAAGAGTCCAGCAAGCATTTCCCCCCCATGTCCGCCAGCGAGGCCGAGATGCGACAAAGGCTGTGGACCACTGTCCTCAAAATCGCCATCCAGTCCAGTTTTGACTCGGGCCTCCTGCCGTTAATCTTCGAGGGCTATAACTGTACCACAACGTCGAATCTGGATGATGCTGACCTGCTCGGTACTAGCTCTTTAGCACCCCAGCCGCTCCCTGTCTTTACACAGTCCACCGTGTCGATGGTGCTAGCCAGCACTCAGCGCATTCGTCTGCGCATTTTGCACCTCATGAATGCGCCGGGCACCACTCTTACCTACCAGGATACGTTACAGTTGACAAAGGAGCTTGATGGCATCAGCAATGAAAATCTCGCCCGCATGCAATCCCTTACCGCGTCCTCGACCAGACCCACGAACTATATTAAAATTCTCGATGTCTGCACGCGTCACTTCCTGCTCGCCTTACATGCTTCGTTTGCGGCCAGGCCAGGGCCAACCCGTGTTACTACTACTCCCGCAAGGTGCGCATGGAAGCAACGGCCGTGCTGCTCTCCAATCCACTGCTGTAAATTGATGGCGTTGAGCCTGCCCCAGTCACTGACGACCACTACGCGCAACCCCTGCTGTGGGGGATGAGATCTTTACCAAGGCTCTCCAACATGCCGCCGGTACCCTCTGTCCCGATCTGATCGACAACATCGCTTCCATTTTCGCCATCAGGTTCAGAAGATCTGTGTCTATTCCCCATACCCATGAACGACGCAGATTTTGAATTTTGGACCAACCTGATAGCACGCCCCCGCAATTTGCTGGTTGATATTCACTGTCGTCTTACTCAGTTTATAGACACATGTTCTTTCAACGACAGGTTCTCAACATAGATGATGGAAATAGAATAGAGAACAAATCGGAATCAGGGTTTCCCTTCCAAGATCTTGTCCCCACGACATGTTTCCCCCCAACCCCACGCGTGTCCCGCAGTCCGTTCAGGATTTCTCTAACCCGGTCCAGTAATTACGCCCTTCATTTAGATCTTCGTAGTAAGCCCCCATCCAGAAAGCCGCACGCGTAGAGCCGCAAGGCCGATGGTGCCCAGAATAAAGCTCACGCCTGAAAAGACACACGTATAGGTGTAGCTGCCCCCACTGTCGGCGGCAATCGCGCCCCCAATAGGCGGACTGGTCAAGGTTCCCACCGCAGCAAAAGCCAAGACAGTACCCATCCGATAACCCGACTCGCTCATTGGTGAGATGGAGACAATCAGGACGGGTCCTAGGCCGATGATCGCACCTGAGGTGATGCCAAACAAGGCTGCAAAGGTGATGAGCGCGACATTGCCTCGGGCAGGAAGCCACAAGGCCAACACCAGGATAGCCGATAGCGAGGTCATGACGAGCATCACGATGAAGCGACCGACTTTGTCCGCGATATAGTTGGGCACTGTACGACCGAAGAAACTGGCGCCATTGAGAATCGGAACTAATGACCACGCCACGCGCGACGACATGCCGTAGTGAATGGCTTCGACGACGATATAATCAAATGGAATGAACAGTCCCCCTAAAGGGGAACGACCGGTTAGTGATTATGCAACGTGTCTTTCCTCGGTATGGGTGTGGTGTACTCACAGTACATGAAAAAGGTAGCCGTACACAGGATGCCGAAGTTAAGCTCCCGCAACGGCCCGAGATAATGCATCACAGAAAACGGACGTGGTGCATGTCGGAGATTGGAGGAGATAGTGAGATTAGCGATGACCAGCAGGCCCAGGATCAGAAAGGCGCAGATACGCATCGTCCAGCCAAAGCCCACCTGCGGCAGCAGATGCTGTACATCAGTGGGAAAATGACGCCGCCCAACGACGATCCTGCCACCGTCAAACCACCAACGATCCCCCGCTTCTGGCGGAACCAGGTCTGGGGCTGAAATTCTCGAGAACATGGTTAGGGGGCTGTTCTTTTTTTCAGCGGGGATTGGTTTCTTCTGGAACTCACTGCACTCATCGCCGGAGTGAAGATCAGCGACGAACCAATTCCAGACACCAGAGACTGGCTCAGCATGAACCGATAATATTTGTGGGTGAGACTGGTCATCATCAGTCCAAAGACATGCAAGACCGATCCGATCGCAATAGGCAAGCGCGGACCATAGCTGTCGAACAGCTTGCCCGCCACGAGGGAAATGAGAAGCATGAAGAAAACTGGAGTTGTCAGCTCGTCGAGAGGAGAACGCGAGTATATTGCACAGTAGCATACATTCCATAGACGTGATCCAAGATACATCCGAGCTCGAATAGTCCTTCAACTGGTTCGTTTCGTACTCAGCCTAGAAGAGACCAATACAGTTGACCCAGCCGAATGAGACAAACAGAGCGACTGATGCGCCAGCGACTGTCAGCCATGCCTGGAGGCCACCGTCGGGAACACTTGCAGGTGGCGGTGCGGCTTTTGGGGCCTCTGCTGCAGGCTCCTCGGGGCCATCCTCCGAACGAGCATCCGACATGGTGAATGAGAAGCGTGTTGGTGAGCAGTGGGAGCGAGATCAATAAGACCGTGGCTGGCTAGATGACTGTGGACCGGTATGGCACCTACGGCAATGGATTTCCACGATCCCTTTTGAAGACAGCTTCTTCTGGCGACCCTCACTGACGATTCTCGGCCATTTCATCGGAGCTTAGGGTTTCTTTCCGGACTCCGGAGTTGATGTGACCAACATGATGATAAAGCTCGGCCCCCGGCCCGAGCCCGACGGTATTTTGGGAAATCTTTGCCCCTCATTACTCGGGCTTCATCTGACCTCTGGCCTCACCCCACTTGCGGTATCCACTTTGCTCCTTCTATCGCATATAACCCCTTAGATATTATGGCGCAGGATCAGGACAACCCGTCGCGGACGACGTCTCCACCGCGCAAACGTCGCCGGCCTCCCAAGTCCTGTGACCCGTGTCGTCGTCGCAAAGTTCGTTGTCACCGGGAATTTCCTTGCGGCGCATGTGAGCGTGCAAGAACCTCACTGCAGTGCTTCTACCGCCCCGCGGTCGCTGCCAGCAGCCCCTCTATAATGGAATACTCCAGTATCACGGCTTCTTGCGTGCCGGAGGTACATACGCCTCCTCCCCAAGCCGTTGACCCGCAGACGCACAGCCGTCCACCTGCACCCACATCGCAATCGCAGCCTCAGGACCAGAATCAGTATCAAAATAAAATCATCTGGGATCTGCAAAATCGTGTTCGACGTTTGGAGGAACAGCTTCCCGGCCCTCCGGTCTCTCAAGGCACGACCGGTCCCAATCCCAGCGTCTCTCAAACCCAGGCTCTGCGCCGCCTTCACGACCGGGTTCTCGGGGCCGAACAACAGCTGCCTGATGCATCTCATCCCAGTCCTTCGGTCAATGGATGGGCCATACCGGCCACCCTTCCTCGTCCGCGTATCCCTCCCGATAAGACGAAGCTTTTTGGCCCCAGTCACTGGCTGCATACCGCTGAGAAAGTATGGTATATCGTATTTACTTCCCTCAACCTACAAAAGTCTTGTCGCTGACGAGTGTTCAATCACCAGTTTCAAGTCCTTGGCAAATTCGACGCCAATGAAGTAGAACCGTCGCTGCAGGCTGTGGATACCAGATCTGAGTTCGCCGGCATCTTCAAGGGCTGTCGGCAACTCCGCCAGGCCATCAAGGACCAAGAGTCGGTCCGACTCAACCATCCGGTTCCAGACTTACTGGGCACGCTCCCGGCCCAAGCAGTGTGTGATGTTCTGGTCAATGCGTATTTCCGCACTTTCGAGGTTATCTACCGTGTTGTTCATGTCCCATCCTTCTGGAAAGAGTATCGTCAGTTGTGGACCCAGCTGCAGTCGACCCCGACCCATTTTCTGATGAAGCTGGTCCTGATTCTCGCCCTGGGCACTACTTTCTACCCAGATCGAAACAACAGGGTGCATCTCCGCCGTCTCGCACACACGTGGATCTATGCCGCACAATGGTGGCTAGTCGGACCATCGGAAAAGTCAACCGTCAATCTGGATGGCCTGCAAGTCGGTTGTCTCCTATTGCTGGCCCGCCAGACGAACAGCCTTCCAGGCACGAGCTGGCTCTCCGCAGGGTCCGTGCTGCGTATGGCCATGGCCATCGGACTACACCGCTCTCCTGACCTCTTTCCCGCGCTGTCCGTTTACCAGTCCGAAATGCGAGCCCGACTCTGGGCGACGGTGCTGGAATTGACTTTACTGTCATCGCTGGATGCCGCCATGCCATTACCGTTCTCCCTACAGGACGTTGACCGCACGGCGCCGTCGAACTCAAATGACGAGCAGTTCGACACCGAGGCCGAGACGCCCCCCACCCCGCAGTCAAATCAGCACTTTACCGACTCGTCCATTCAGATTCTGCTGCTCAAGTCTCTTCAGGTGCGAGTGGAAGCAGTCCAGCTCGTGAGCAACCAGCACGGCCGGGAATTGTCATACGAAACTGCATTGAGGTTGGGAAACGAATTGCGCTCGGCCTGTCGCGATATTGCCGCCTTGTTCTACACCAGCCAAAAGCAGTCAAGGCATGAGGGCCGTTCTCTGGGCATGACTGACTTCCATCTCCGGTTTCTAGACACGTACCTACGTCGACATATCTTGTTCCTGCATCGGCCGTTCATGATCCAAGCTCGTAAAGACCCACGATTCTACCTGTCCCGGAAGGTGTGTCTGGAGTCCTGCATAGTGGTTGCATCGTATGCGGATCACCTCAATCTACCGTCAGACACCTTGGATGACACCTCTCACCTGGCCATTGTAGGAAGAGGTTCCTTTAAAGGTGCCTTAAGTTTAGATGTGATTACTTCCCTGGGGCTGGAAATTGTCTCACAAACTCGAAGAGGAGGATTCTACACGGCCCGTGGGATCTTCTCCCCCATTTATCGCCGATTCCCTACATAAAATGGCCAAGGCCCATCGAGCGCCCTTGATCCGGAGCCTAGAACACATTCAAGAGCAGCTGCTGCAGATTATCGCCCTCGGAAATCCCAGTCTCAAGCGATACAACTTCCTGTCCGCCATCTTGAGTCAGGTCCGTGCAATGGAGTCGGGCCAGCCGATCCAACCCGCCATTTACGAGACCGTCAAAGAAAGCCTAAAGAAATGTTATTCCTTGCTGCAGGCCTCTCACACAGCCAGTCCGCCGCAGGACTCGGTTGAGTCGCTGAATATGGGGACAGACAGTGCTCTAGGTTTTGACTTGGACGCTTTAGTAAGTATTTCTGTCTATTTCTTCCCCCTGGTTTCGCTTCATTTCCACCTCCCTCCGCATTCTACGTGCTTGCCATCAGACTCACAGTTTAGGACCCTGTCTTGGGATTGGAAATTCCAAGCTTACTGTTTTTCCCGGGCATTATGGATACGTTGAGCATAGACGTAAACAACCAATGCTAAAGCTGAACCATGGAATAATAATCAAAGGGAGTATCGTGAGTCCTGGTTAACTCAGACACTCGTCAAAAATCGCGTCTCTGTCTCCATGCCCTTTTCTTCAGCCATCAACTATGCCACCAATTTGTCAGGCAGAAATTGGCCTACCAGGAGGGCAAGACCTCATCAGCTGTTTCAAGTCTCTCTGCGCCGCAGCGAAGCTCTACCATGATCCGCTGTCCACATTACAAGACCGCGTCATTGGTGAGTCACGTGTCGATACCCACCCCCGTCGGTTCCTCACTCATAGATGCATGTTCAGATAGGCGAATTGAACCGGCTCGTTCCCCTCCATTCTAGCTTTTTTTCTCTGCTTTCCATGCGCGGCGAGTTCCACGCTATTGATATCATCTTGAATGCCAGTGAATTCTCTGTAACTACTACAACCTCTTGATATTGGGTGATGTAAGCGCGAGTACAGTCGCTTCCTAAGCGATTTAGCCAGTATAAATATCAACAAGTTTGATTCCTAAGCCAATTACCAACGCGCACGGCTAGAAGCCCTTCAACCAGATACCATTTGAAATAGCTTCAATAGCTACTGGTATAAAGCCAATTGTGTGTGCGTATGTGTGCGTGTGTGTGTGCGTGTGTGTGCGCGTGTGTTTTGTGTGCGCGTGTGTGTGTGTGTAATTCATACGGTGACCCCCCGCCTTAGCAATATATAACCACTATTCTAAATATAAGATTACAATTTAATTATGGTGTTCCAAGCTTCCTAAGGGCGAACTTAGGGCCTTGCCTGAATCCCCCCTAAAACCCGCCAGGTTGTGGGCTGGAGTTGGGCCTTAGAAATCTAGGGCCTGACCCTGCCGGTGGGGTTCAAAAGATAGGAGAACCCAGCCCAAAGCACAAAAATAACAACCCTTAAAATATTTAAGGAATTTATTGCTATAGATAATACAAGCAGATGATGGTAAAAATACTTTTGGCCGGTTTTGTATATGTAGTCCGCCCTAATTGGTCTTTGGCGACTGCCTAAAGGGATACGAGAATTTCACAATCTCCCTTGCTCTCACTGTTGGACGGCTGGTACAGTCCTTTTGTGGCTATTTTTGTGGCCCTGAATGCGGACACTGCTTGAGCACATTAAAAGAGAGGAATGCTGCTATTCCCAGCACTCTGGGCGAGGAGCGTGGATAGCATCGGAAGCCGCTTGTCCTCTATCATGGTCGTAAAGTTGTATGTAGAGTTGTACACCGGGCTGGTGGTTGTGACGACCGTGCTGTTGCCGAAGACCGGGACTTCGTCTCTCTTTGAGTATCCGGGTAAACAGGCGGGATCACGCAGGCAGTGTGTGCGGTCTCAAGGTTCCCATTAAACGCTGAAACGCAGAACTCGAAGTGCCTCGTCCCAGGGAATAGGAACCCCACACTATACGTCGTCGCAGTTGTCTTGCCGTCCTGTTTGAAGTCGGTGTTATCCCGTATACTCCGGACATAGACCGCGTATCCCGCAGCGCCGGCCGAGGGGGTTCAGCTGAGTTGGACAGTGGTGGGCTCAACGTTCGTAACGCCCAGGTTCGTGGGCGGCGCGGGGGCTCCTGCGCCCACGATGACCTCAAGACTCGCCACCGGCAAGCCTCCCGCAGCGTAGGGCTCCCCTGTCAAGCTGCTTTTCGGATTGACGTAGGTAGCCACCTAAATTCCGCAGCGGTGCCCGGGTATCAGTCCACCGATAAACAGGCTTGTCCCTGATGCGGCGTGTGTATCGACGAGTGCTCCCTCCGTGTCCCTATCCCACACGATGACTCCGTACCGGTTGACATTGCACCCGGTAACGGCCCCCCAGGAGACATGGACGCCGTCAGCCCCCAACGGCACTGACACAATGTTGGGCGGCCCCAGAGAGGTCTGCAAGTGAGCTGTAGCCGTAGTGATCTCTGAGCAGCTGGACGCGTCGTCGTTGTCGCCTCGTGTGCGGACGTGGAACTCCCACGTCTGCCCGTCTAGTAGCCATGGGCTCCAGCTGGCGATCGTGCTAGTGTAGACCTGGCCCTCAGACCACCAACCCGTCATCCCCTGGACTCGAGAGCGTATTCATAGCCTCGGGCGGTTGGAACCCTATTCCAAATCGTCTGCAAGCCCTCTGGGAATGAGAAAGTTTGCACACCGGTCGGCGTGCTGACAAACCTCGGCTCTGGGTTGGCAGGAACCACGAAGTCCGGACCTTGGAATCCAAAGTCGGCCTTAACGCTGCGAGCAAAAGCCTGCGCGATATGGTACTCGCCCATCGAATTGGGATGCAGTCCATCGTAGCCGTCAGGACAACCCTCAGGGCGGCAGTTATAGTTAGTGTTGACGTCAACGTAGGCAATAGGAGACTCCCATCGAAACCAGCTTGGGTACCTCTCGCGCAGCAGCTGGTTGTACGTGTTTGTGTTGTCGACCAGATCTTGGCGGCCGTGGAGGAATTTGCGGTGCACGACATTGCCCAGGAGGATCTTGACGTCTGGCTTGCCCTCTCGTGCGTTCTCCACTAGTTGCCCCATGCTGCCGACCAAGTCTTTAGGGCCGCTCACAAACCAACCCAGGTCATTGAACCAGAGCAGGATAAAGAGATAGTCTGGCTGGTACTCCTGGACCCAGGCTTTGATGGTCTGCTTTGACTGCGCGACCTGCCGGCCCCACCACGAAGCGTGCCCGCTAGGGCCGAAGAAGCCCGGGACCCCGTCAGCGTAGAGACCGGTGACTTCTTTGATTTGCGGAGCAGACTCTCCTGGGAAAAGGGGTGGCTGCGGTAGGGCGGCTTGGGGCAGAGTCGGCCCATGTGTGCCAAACCACGGCCCGACGAAATCGACCTTGTAGCCCAGATTATCCTGCACTAGACATGTCGGATCAGATTTTAGCCTCGCACACACAATGGCCTTGGCTAAGGCCGGCAGAAACAAGTACTCACACCAGGCAAAGATACGCCAACGCCAGGTCCAGTCGCCCTCCATCCCATGCGAGATCGAATCTCCTACCACCATCACTGTGGCACTTGGTTTTGGTGGAGCGGGTTGGACTGTGTAGCCATTGTCGCCATCTGACTTGCAAGGGATAGCACAGTTGCCGCCCCAGACGACACCGTTGTGCGAGAACTGGTCCTTGACACCGGAGGCACACAGGCCTTTGCAGTCCGGGCGGGTGGTCTGTGGGTTATTCCAAGCTATGCTAAATCAACAGTCAACTTAAGGCTCAGTATGATATAGAAGCATCTGTGACTAGCCTTAGTCGACTTACTTCAAGTTGTCATTGGTATCGGGGTTCTCGGAATCACGCGCCCAGGTCTGGAAGTTCCCCTCGCTGCCGCTATGTGTCTGGAAATACGCGCGGCAGTGGTCCTTGATGTCCCAAATGGCGTGGTCATCTGACAAAAAGACTTTCAACAGGTTGCGTACTAACTCTCCTGCGATGTCTGCGCCGGCGCCAGCAGCTTCAATGACGTCGGCGAGACCAGCGATGCCAAAGACGACAAACGGAAATTGGCGCTTCCGCAATGGGTCCTGCATGTAGTCGGCCAGTTCATCGACATGCACGAAAAGCTTGTCACCGTCCTTCATCTTGGCAAGCGTGCGCGCATGCCGCGCTTGAAGCTCCGCCAAAACGTTTGGATCTGTGATCTGGCGGCCTCCCAACGGGTTCTCGGGGGTGTTGGGGGGAGGTATGGCCGCCGCCAACAACAGCAAAGCTGCGAGACATAAGAGGACCTTCATCGTGCACCTCGGGGGCCTTGTAGCTGCAGGCGAAGAAGACCGACTGCGAGAGAGATCTGGCGCTGTGTTTTCTGTTTAGGAGCCCGGCGAGAGCGTCTTATAAGTTATATTCCAAGGAGCATAAGACGTTCAGACAGCTCCACCTCCATTTCATTCATGAGTTAGATAGCTTTCGCTTTTGTTGCACTACTAAAAAGGCGGCTCGCAGGATCTCAATCCTGGAAAGGTACAACATCCTACCTGTTTTTAACCTGGTAGCTAGACACTAGCTAGACACCTTCTTACCATTCAACCGCTACGAGCCAGCATGGTAACTACCGTAACAGATCCGTGTTTGTCACCTCTTCTCGTCATCAGCCAATTATACCTGGTGTTTTCTCGTTGGTAGCAGAGCAGTAGAGGGCCATTCTCACATCAGCACTGCCGAAGTTACATCGCTGCACGCCTCACCACTGACCATTCCAAAGATGGTGGATAGGTTTCTGGAACCGTGCCCGCTAATAAGGCAATATATGCTTTACGAATAATAGAGCCGTAGCTGAAAACGATGCAGACCAAAGCGGGTCATGCAGTGGCGCGAGATAAATCAGAGACGTTGTTGTGCGGGCCTAGTTCGGAGTGAGCTTCGGCGGAGTTGATGGGGACTGATCACAGGATAAGGCAGAAAAGGGAAGAACATAACCAGCAAGTAGCAAGGAGATACAGCTAGTCAGTCAGAGAGCGGCTATAGGAATTACAGGAGGAGCAAAGTTATCAAGGATTGCTTCCTCTACAAGGCAGCCAAATCGCCAGTGCAGTCTGGTGCGAGACCGTGACTCCCATAACAACGTGGGCTAAGAGAGGATCGGAGGAAAATGCCACAGCTGAAAAGCAGGGCCGAGCAGCCGGCACTAGTAGGAAAGCAGGAGTTTGAGAGGAGCCTGCTATAACCACGCCAAAATCATCTTGCTGTCAGATGAGAATATAGTGGGCTTCTATGAGGAACTTACTGTATTCTAGATTATATACAGGCTCATTTTATGTGGACCTAATTTGTGGCTAGAGTCTTGGCTGTGGTGCTTAGGAATATCTTAAGTATGCTTAGTATTGTAGTGAAACCCATTTGCTGCTCACAATATATTATTAATTGCTAATGCAATTATTTACTGACCCCTACTAACTAGGAAGGGTCTAGTATGGGTCGGATAAATGATGTCTAGATGGGCTGCCACCACCTACAGGTATTTCCGTCAATCAACACCCTGCACGCCGTATGCAGAGTAAGTGGCCTGTCCTCACTTCTGCGTGTTGGACTCTGGACCGCGCTTATATTGGAATCCTGTGTGATTGGGAGAGGAGCCAGGGTCTGCTCTTCATGGGACATCGTTCAAGCAGTCCATATTGCATGGCCAATCCGATGGTTAGGTGAAAGCATACCGTTATATCGTGCTGCTAGGTCTGTCAAATCAGCACTTTCCAGTGAGGCATGTTGAGCTGTAGGCGGTGTACTGAGTACATATATGCATCAACCTTCAGTAATCACTATAGTCTAAGAAATGATTTTAATCACCACCTATATAATCCTATAGATATTGAATTGATATTTCAAACTCCGAGAAAAGGCGTTATGGGCAACAACAAAGGCGATTGCAACAAGGAGTGCTGCCACCATCACAATGAGAGCGGAGCATCTCAGGCTGAATGCAAATCCTGCCATTGTAAGACGGAAAGTAACCAGCACAATGAGGCGTGAAAATGTGAAGGAAATATGTCTAAAAATGGGCTCTAGGCCCTGAGACATGAGGCTAAATACTAAGCCTCCTTGTCTTGAATCTCCACTGGTTTAATTAATTGTTACATATTTGGCAACTTGCATATGTTATGAGTCTAAGTGTCAGGTGGATCAGTGCGAACCAATAGTTAACTAGTAATACCAAACATTAGGTCAGCTAGAGGGGTCAGCACAACAAGCCGCATAATCATAGCCACAACCCAATTACAAAACCAGATATCCACGATTTTCCTTTATCTCAGGGCGATTTATTCGCTTCTGCACCTCTTCTGCAATGAGGATGCTCACTGTAATTCGAGAAGAGATAGCCAAGACCAGACCAGACAGCGGCAGTCGCCACGATGTATTTATGTTCCCAGAGCCAGCTCCCACGAGCGCCAGCCTCCAGAAAAAGCCAAGAATGGGGGCCGGGCCGCCAAGTGAAGGAGAGCGACAAATGGTACGCACCTGCAAGCTCATCTAGCGTGGTACAATAGTAGAAACAATCCCTACCTCCTTCTCTGTTTGTGACTATGATCCCACAACATTCACTTAAAGTCGCAATCAAGTCTCCAAGCCCGACTCGTGGGTATGAGTTCTGATATTAGACCCAAAGCTGACCCGTGGCGAGGCCTAATCACTAGCTAACAAGATATGGGGCGAGCTGGTTTGACCAATCAGGGGTGGGAAAAGGGAGCGGCGGTGCAGCGCTTCACATACTAGGGACTAGGGACTAGGCCTCCTCCAGTTGTCAGATGGTCATTGCCATGTGACTTGTGTTTCAGCTAACTGTAGTCGGCGCGCAATCTCACCTGAGGCGGGGTCGAATATGGTCTTCTCTTCTCTCGTTTAACCGAGATACAAAATCACTATGGCAGACCATCTCTTCTCTCCTGACGAGCCTTCAAAGCCTATCCGGATTGAGTATCACGGTCCGCTATACGACGGAGGCGACTGGGATGAGTATCCCACGCGCAATGGCTGGGAGTCAGAGCCAGGGACACAGAGGTTCCCTCCAGGCCAAATTCCTCAGGAGTTCCAACCTGCAATTGAGTGTTGGCTCTATTTCGGCATGCTCCACTACGTTTTCGGCGACCAGCTAAACCAGTGCGACTTTCTTCTCCGCGAAAGTGAAAATGACGAGGAAGGCCAACAGCAGTACATTTCGACAAAGTATCTGGAGAGATACGTGGGTAGTACCGAGAAGTGGCAGAACACCGGACTAGGCGCGCGGTCTTTCGGGATCGTCAGGCGAGTCTGCGAGCACCTTCAAAGATATCACCAGTACATACGGGCTGAGATGTGCTTTGCCATTCAGCTGGCCTGTCAAGCTCTCTGGAGCGTTGCGGAGAAGCGTGATGGTCCGCAGACCGATTCGGGCACCGTCAAGCTCTGGTTGTTTCCCAGAGACAGAGAGGCTGAGCAGATGGTAAGGGGTGGATGGTGTCCGCTAGACGCGGAGAAGTGTCGTAAGATTGGTGTTGAAGTGGACACCCCGGCGTATTTGCTGCAGCTTCAACGGAAGAAGCCCGCTTGGAACAAAAGGACGCATGAGCGTTGTAAGAAGACGGAATGTGTCGCAGACAATGTCGATGAGAGCCTCTATGTCACTCGCCACCTGCAGGAAGATTGTAAGTGTGAGCACCTTCACGCAGACGTTGAAAAGTTACATGAAGTTCTCCTGGGTGGAGGGATACCTCTTGTGCAGATCACACCTCGTGTCGAGGATGAGCCCGACAATCAGGGCTATGAGATTAATATCGTGAAAAAGCGTGTCAACAAGCGATACGTGGCCGTCTCCCATGTATGGGCTGATGGGCTGGGAAACCCGCATGCTAACTCTCTGCCGACGTGCCAGTTGGGTCTTCTTTACGAGCGGGCAAGGCTCCTCCTCACTGACAAGGAATATGTCCCTCAGAATGACACCGGGTCATTTAGGCCGCTGCACACTGCTGCTGCCCGCTTTGCGCATTTCGCAGGCAATTGGCGTGGAGACAGTTCAGTCTTGCTGTGGATCGATACGCTGTGCATCCCACATGAACGCGAGGTTCGCGGTTTGGCAATTCAACGCATCCGCGATGTTTATGTCGGTGGTAAGTGCGCTGTGAATAGATTCTGGAAATTTATGGATGTATAGACCTAACCTAACCGATTACAGCTTACCGAACTATGCTTCTGGATTCGGAGATAAAGCAGGTCGACTCGCGCTCCGCAAGCAATTTGGAACTTGTTCTTCGGGTGCTGTACTGCTCAGGCTGGATCCGCCGGCTATGGACACTCCAAGAAGGATTGGCAGCCAAAAGCCGACTATACGTGATTCTGGCTGACAAAGCAGTCAATATTTCCACAATCGCCGACGAGCTCTTTGCCAAGCTTAGCCAAGGAAAGCTTCCTATCTTCCAGGAGAAAATTGCCCGGTACGCTGCCGGCGTTTGGTACCAGTATTTCCAAGGCTCTATCGAGTACGCATCCAAATTCGATCGTTTCGTGAACGCCGTGACAGGTCCCTACTTCGACATCTTCGTTGACGATAATGCGAGCATTTCGCAATTTAAGCTGGTCTCTTGGAACTGGTATAATGTGGCAACACGAGCCTCTAGCAAGGACGGCGACCGTCCGATCGTGCTAGCAGGTGTCCTGAATCTGGATGTGAAGAAGATCCTCAAGGTGAAGGGGGCTGATAACCGCATGTGGAAGTTGTACAGTATGCTGGACGGGTTCCCTTCAGACGTGCTGTTCCACGATGAGCCACGCTTTGAAGAAGACGGCGCCCGATGGGCGATCAAGGTGTGTCGGTTTACGGAAGAAATTCGCTATCTTACGGGTGGAAGGGGGTTAATCACCCCTTGGGGGCTGCATGTCACACAGTATCGCTCTTGGATATTTCCATCCCGCATGGTATTTGATCTCCGCCGCATCGATGACGACGATATGCAACAGGTCTGGGAGCAGTGGCTTACTGACTGCCACATTTCTTTCGAGGGTGTGGGAGAAGTTTTGCATTTGGGAACGAAGATTCCAATCGATTTTAAGCCTGATGAAACGCATGGAATTATCGTGAGGGAATATAAGCATGGTCGTCCCGGTACAACACACCCGTGTGTATCGGTGTCGCTAAAGCGAGCAGAGAATGAAGTGCATTATGCGCGATATTCCAGCCTGGGAACGGTCAAGTCATTTACCATAGGCGCGTCAAGCCTCCCTGATGAGGGCTATTTGGTGGGAGGCACCTGGGATGACCTACAAAAGCGTGACTGGGTCGTCGGTTGACTGAACCTCACGACTACAGACCAAAGATTTTCCAGATTCTATGTTTCCTTATTTTGGCTACTTGGTCAAATGCTGGGGCAATATCCGCGGGAGCTGGTTAGATAGCTGAGCTGCTTGGATTTATATAAGTTCAACACTTCATCACCCCCTATCCCAGCTAGGACCTAGACAAAATAGTGCAACTCAACCCTTTTTGGTAGATCTCAACACAGATCCCACCAGGGAATGACATTTTAGTGTGCAACGGCTTAGCAACAATACTTAATACCAGATGGTGGACACGCATTGGGTTAATGAGGCAGTGCCCATGACAGGGATATTATGGGCTCTTGGAGCGAGTTGCGACAGAGGAGGGCACTGCGTCCTGTTCTACCCGGATTGCTAAAGAGGCGGGGGTTGAATCAGACGTTAAACTCACTAAGACTAGGATGAATAGGACAGGCTTTATATTTAGTCACTGGCAAAGCTATAGGGATAAGCGGACATCTTCAGCCAGGCTATGGCAGTGCTCAGCCTTGGGGTACTGCTAGAGTATCTAGATAAGTACTATATTTAGATCACAGATTCATGTTATATCATCAATCGCTAAGAGCTTATGATTAAAATTCGGGCCTCTATGCACTTTAGAAACTCTAGAAATAGCTCTAAGTAGCTCTTACTCATCTATTTGCCAGCAAATACGAGGTTAAATAGCCTCCTGGTTACATCAGTATAGGTCAGAGGTCACCGCATGTGCCATCAGCCTACATGCTAAACCAAGGCCGGTGAAACGCGATATGAGCTCTCCCTTCATGGCTTGCAAGGCATCCCATCTTTTCTTCTTCCAAGTTTAACTCTTTAAGTCACACACTATGACTTTTTACAAGATGTCTTCGCTTTGTTTCCCTCTACCACCTTAATCAGTAGGTCACTCCATACCACTGTTACTACCCAGGAATGCCCGTTCATTAGTTTCCTCTCGCCTGCGGTCGTTGTGTCTGCTACGGAGAGCTTTCTCAGCCGTTCATTGGTAACGGTTAGCGGCTTTCGAGTTCATTATTGCAATGCCACGTCAATCCCCTCACGCTATAGAGGGGTAGATGCATGCTTCAAGTATCTGATTGGTTGGTAATGCTAAATTCATTCGCCCCAACCACTTATAAAAGGTCGAACAGGTAATCGAATTGGTTCATTGCTCTATTATTTCATCGTGAATAATCTGCTTCCCGCACAGATGTCTTCAAAAACGGAACCTCAAGGGAGTCACGCCCATGCTTTTACCGCGGATGTTAACAATACATTTGAAATTTTCTCTCACCGCGCATTGACTAGAGAAGCACCGAGTCCCCAGGATCGCAGGGACCAGAGGCTCTCCAATGATATAGTAGAGTATCTGCTTAGAGAAGTTCCGGAATTTCGGCGATTATCAGAGCTCCGGAAAAAGGTAAGGGCTCTGTGAAGATCTCTGGAATCCTGGGCTGATTGGCTAAAGTAGGGGTGGAATAACCCAAAAGGCGACCGGTTCTTTGAAAAGCAGCGCCGAGCTGCCGATCACGCCGATGACAAGACAGCTAAGCATTTCTACAAAATGATGCAAGACATAGGACGAGATATGCACCGACTTACAGGCGTCTTCCAAATCAAAAGCCCCAGTCCGGATCAAAATTGTATACTCGACATGTGCATGGCTCCGGGAGGCTTCCTTGCGACAGCATTGCGTCTTAACCCTGAAGCCCATGCTTTGGGGTTCAGCTTACCCAAGTGTAATGGAGGACATAATGTTCTTCTACCGAAGCATCCCCGTGTTACACTAAAGTTCCTTGACATCACAATGTTAGCCGCAGATATGGGGCTATCAGATATCCCGTCCGAGCACCCAGACACTAGAAATTTCCTACCTACCCAATTCGAACCGGGGCAGGTTTTTGATCTTGTTTTATGCGACGGTCAGGTGCTCAGGAATCATGACAGGGCAGCCTATCGCGAGCATAGGGAGGCAAGAAGGTTGACCATTACCCAATTGAGTCTTGGGCTTAAGCACATCAAGCCAGGAGGAACTATGATTGTCCTCCTCCACAAAGTCGAGTCTCTAGAATCCGTGCAACTCCTCTACATATTTGATAGGTTTGCTTCAGTGCGGCTCTATAAGCCTACGAGGGCTCACGCTACACGATCTTCCTTCTACATGCTGGCAAGCAATATCAGGTCTGATTGTGCAGAGGCAGCCATGGCTATTGCAAGGTGGGAAAGTATGTGGAAGATTGCGACCTTCGGCACAGATGATATGTACGAGAAAGCTCTTACTGAGGACGGCTTACATGCTGAAGTTCTATTGAGGGAGTTTGGTCCTAGATTAGTCAGGTTGGGCAAGAAGGTCTGGGATATCCAGGCGAATGCGTTGGCAAGGGCACCTTTCTTGAAAGAAAATCCAGTCGGGCTCGGAGGAATGACTGTTCAAGAAAACACAACTCAGTAATACATAGAGTCTGACGTCTGACTTTCAAAATAATTCCTGTCTTGGCTTAATGCCTTGTACTCTTCAAGCATTGGCATCCAGTGAATCAGAATTACTGCCTAGAGTAGAAGCTGTAGAATTGAGGTTGCAAGGTGATGCAGACACTTTCTCCTCTGCCAGAGACATGGGAATTAAAGAACAAAGTCATAATCGATAAGAAACTGGGCGGACAGTATTAGATAGCCATAACTGCATCACTAAAAGAGAGAAAGATGTGAATATAGTAGAGACCGCATAAGCTCTAGCACTTCAGCTTCTAGTATAGGTTAGAAATTGCAGGAGTCACATGCTGTTAGCAGCACAAAGCCACACATTCAGAAGGCTTAATTCCTCCTTCAAATATGTTAGCATTAGTGACCCAGCGGGTATTATGTTATTATTTCTTTGATACATCTCGAAAAAAAAGTCGTCGTTTTCCTTACGCCAGTCAGACAAGGCTCCCTCACGTTCTTCTACATCACTGACCATAGACCACTTTAAATTCGTTGACAGTCTCCTCAGGATCAATCTGTTGGATGACCGTATTGCATATCAAGTTAGCATGGCGGAACAACTCTAACTGGGCCAGGAAAAGGCTCATAAGTTTGCGTCTTAATGCCAGGCTGATGTGCCACGGTACCAGGAATTGGTTGAATGCAAATGTGGTCACGTTCGCCGACAGAAAGCAATCACTGGCACACTGTTTTCGTTGTGTCCCCTCTAGGGGCCTTGAACAGGAGTGGGTTGAAATTGCAGTATCTGCAGTTTAAAAGGGGCTGCAATTCCTGAACAGATGACTGCGGACGACAGTCCATGCCTCGCCTTATAGGCAAGCAGTGCTGGGCGGCGATACGTGTGGTAATAACTGAGGAAATGAGAATTTGTCTTTCCGTAGAAAACGGGTATACATCTTACGCATGGGATTTGGGTCAACTTAACTTGAACTTCTGCACAGTGATCTTCTACTTCAATCACTCGTTTCTGGTTTGATGGAGTCCGATCTCAGTGCCCAATAGGTCTCTAGTTTATTCCCGCATTATATCCAAGAAGACGCGCCCCAAGATCTTATCTACAGCCATTCAACAAGTCCCTGGATTTGAGCGTTTGTTTCAGAAACCGTTTTACCGGTTCTGGCTCGGAAATCTCTACCTAGTTAGTATTCTATGTAAAATGATAACGTAACGAAGGTCTGGTTTGTCTCACCCACTAGCTTACGAGACACCCTACATATTATGAAATTAGGCTGCAGTTCGGCATCTCCGGAGTGTTATCCTCTCGTATAAGACGATCTACATACGGAAGGTCATACGATCTACCCAAATGGGTAAGCGGTAAATTATATCAACAGTTTTAGCTTTCTTCTCTCAGTCATTCCTCGCATTAGTCTTCTCTCAGCTATTTTCCTTCCTGTCATTCTAAGTTGATAACAATGCCCGACGACAGGATCAAGGAATGGATTCGGGATCGCAGACGGGAGCAGAATAAAATTGCAAAACGGCGGAGTCGTAAGCTTTGCACCGCCCAAGATGGACTGAACCTTTTGCTGACTCAAAACGCCCAATAAGGTCAGCGACAGAAGGCAAAGCGACTGAACACTCTGGAAGACAGCGGCGTCACATTACTTGACACGTCTAGCACTTCTCTAGCCTCGAGTCAAACTGCCCTCACAAGGTGGCATCATGAATTTTGAACCAAAGGGATGTTCTGCTAACGGTTCACAGACAGCTTGGGTGCTGTAATCGCATACATGAAACACAACATGCTCAAATGGCATACTCAGAGTTTATAGGTTGTTCAATAGCCGCGACGAACCCTAGGTTATGCCGGCCTCAACAAGTAACAGCATTTGTTTGTGTTCTTTAGGCATTCCGATTGCTGAGTTACTAAGACGAGAAGTTACGTGGATAAGAAAACAAATAGTCCCCATGGGCAGTGCAGCCATTCCCACCGGCCCCTTACCGCAGCCTGGACCCTGCTTTATTCGGAGTTACCTCACTTTGCGCAATATCCACCTGAACCCTGGCGGCAGCATAGGGAAAGACACTGCACTGACTCTGACTCTATTTTGCGGGCCTCTCATTTATCCCATGTCTCTCGATGATCATTGAGGTTTGTTGTAGTGGGTCCGACATATGTTAGTTTCTCCCACAACGCAGATATTTCACGAACCAATGAAAGCCCTTTTAGCCTGATGCTCTGAAGTGGGGCACGAACTGTAGGTGGGAGCCAACATCAACAGGATCCTTCGTGGAACTGTGAGGAGAATTAATGTGGGCTATATACTGCAGATTTATGACATGCCGTACCTTGAAGTCATCGGGCTGGGTGGCTAACATGTATAATGTCGGAAGTGCCATGGGCTACTATAGCCATAGTGGGAGGCATGTTCCTTGCTATTGTGACGTTAAGTCGGTATTTTCCGGGTGAAGCAATTGCCAGGAGACTGAACTCGGCATGCTTGTTCGTGGAACTTCTCCCACTACGTATACACGTATACTTGACGTGAGGGGCCGGATCAGCGTAACATTAGACGGATTCCCTTCTTCGTCAGCGAGGGACAATCCCGCGGCAAATTGTAGGTCAGGAAAGTCCTCCATCCATTCAAATTGTTGCACAGCTATGCTCACTGAAGCCGTACAGAGCATCCCCGTATGCACGTCTCTGGAGACAGAGAACTTGAAGGTAGTATTTGCGGAGTCACTCGGACCCGCTGAATCAACTTGCTCCCAACTTCGAACCATATTCATGACTCGTAGGCGCGATCCTATTGTCCTAAGTTGCTAGGAGAGGCAGTATAGAGGCAGCATAGAGGCAGTATAGAGGTTCCCATATGCAGGGTAGCGAGACCGGTCAGCGGCGATGACCACATGTGAAGACAGCGAGCGGCCTTTATGTATCTTCCCCCATCACACACTGTGTGTGGCGCACAGCGATTAATTAACTACCGCCAATCCGATTACCTGGCTTTGTATCTGGCCCAACCTCTGGTCCGGTCTTCCTGTATATACGGAGTAAGCCAATTAAGCATCGCTATATTCCTTTCTCGGGTTACCATGGGTTACCCGCCAACCCGCCAAGAACCCAAGGTATCATAATTTACTATAATGCACATGAGATACTTTTTCTACATGATCAATCGTAGGTGTGACTCTTTATGGAAGCGAGTCCGGGTGGATCGGTCCTTTGCAGTCACAAATAACAGTGGCACTCTACGGCTTTCAACCCGATCTCGATCCCCCTCCGCAGCTGGCTTCCAATGGACAGCAATCGAACAAACTAGTCGGGATACACTGACGTCTATGGCAAGTTCATCAATTGTAATAGAGCCACTCACTTTCTTCGGCGGCAGCAGATTATTTAGGCGCAAATACTCCGTCGGATTTCCCTGACGGAAGGCAAGCCGCAGGGACCAGACCACAAGATCTGCCCTAGGCTCTGACTAAAATCACGCTTTCCAATATGCTCTAGGATATTGAAATGGACACTTCGCCCTCGCACCATAAATACCACACACCGGAGAGAGCAACGCACGGATACGTGGGCTAAAGATTTCAGCCAGATTTGCTAATAGTTGAGATATAGCAGCGTAGTATCAAAGTGAACACCAAGCTTGAATGGCCAGAATCAGAACAAGGCAACGCATAGTTAGCACATAATAATTTGCTCAATAGTGCTCAGCCCCACCAAGAATGGCGCACTGAAGGAGCAGATAACATATTTAAGCTGTAAGTAGGTAAGCTGATGCTCTTAAATACCTCATTAACTGTCCCTACTCCTCCTGGCACCACAACCACTACCACGGTCCGTATAACAGAACATGCAACCGCCAAGTCAGATGCTTTGAGTGATTCGGGCTGCACAGATTCAAAAGTAATGGTCGTTGGCGTTAGCACTGGCGTTGGACTAGGTGCATGTCTTGTAACATCATTAGGAGCCATGTGGTCTCAAAGACGGAGTATACCAGCGAAAGCTATAAGAGAATCAATAATTGGAGTAAACTGAATCACAAATGCTCAACTGTCTGTTACTCCTGCTGCTGCTGCTGTTGTACCTGTGGCAGAGCTTCCCTTAGTCAAAGCTCCAAGAGCGTTTAAGATGGGGACAGGAGGGTGATCTCAATCGGTCCAATCTGCCGTTCATGTGTATATATTCAACAGGCTTTCTGTATATAACATCGTAGGATTACCTACTGGGAGACTCTGAACCAGGTTTAATAGGAAGCCTAACAAAAACTAATATAGTTAAATGGCTCCCGAGCCTGTCCCTGCTTAGTCTGCTAGAATTACGGCTAGCATGGTTGTGCCAGATCCAAGAACCTCAAGCGCTGCCATTCTGGATGATACCGACGTTGCTCTTCGGGACTGCGTCAATAGTCTGGTAGTCTAAGTGTGCAGATCAATAAGCTGGGTATTCCTTTACTGCTTCCTATTAGCATTGACTATGTGAGCCTTCCTCGTGCCCAGACCATCAGTCAGAAGATTATTAAGGTGCCAGTGCTAATGAATGAGAGGGGAACAGGGTGGATGATATTGCTAAGCAGATCATCTGCAAATCCATACTGTAGGTAAGGCCGATTTCTCCTCCCAGCATGAGTTATCTGGCATGTACTCGTAAGGTGCAAAGTCATCCAAACAGGCTTTCAGTCATGAGGAGACAGAGGATCTGCATAGATAGTAATACACTGGAAAAAGAGTTAGAGTTAGACATAAAATATAATCTAATGATGGTGTATGGACGATCCTTGAGCCACACTTATCCTCACCTTTATATGAATGATCCACAGTGCTTGTCTCACACTTCCATTGTTTTCAGATGCTAACAGTGTCATGTGGTCCCTGCAATTTACATGAACCTCATCAACCCTATAATTAAGGAGAATTAAGGCTATTCATCCTATTCCATCTAGTCCTTGGGAACTAGCCTGCTCCGTTCATGGCATTTTATATATGACTCTAATGATGAAGTGGCAAACAGTGTGCTTCATCTGAAGAGTAGCACTGACTCACTTCTAGATTTAAATGGATTCTGTACCATTAAATGTGGAGTCCTGATCCTGGCAGGCTAAATTATTCAAGCTTATCTCACAGGAGCCTGATTCTGTTTCTCTATGGAGCTAATTCTTCATAAGACCGTCTCGGAAAATCGTGGCACCGTGAAGTTAGTTGGAGCTTGCCTTTTGCCCTGAGAGGGCCACCCAACCTGTCGAAGTAACCCGGTCCGTCCCGGTGTTTCCCTAGACCCCGTTTGATAAGAGAACTCGTTGCTAGCTATTTTTAACTCGTTCAAATATTAATAATCATATTATTATATTACTCCTTTAAGGCCCTATCAAATAGTATATGTTTTACTAAGATAAACCATACTGGTGGTGTTGACCTGATGCCATATTACCATATCCCAGTCAATTTGACAGCACCAGACTACCATTTCAGATCATCATTGGGCGGTTACTGAAAGCATGTTACTCAGTTTTCTCGCCTCCTATTGGTGGTTCTTGGTCAAACTTACCATGGCCAGCAAGGGCCAAAGGGACGCTATTAGTGGGAGTTTAAGCATGCCCTCAGGTATGTTCGAGATCGGACACAGACGATCTCAGGGAGCGGCAAGCGCGGTTTATGTCCCGGATGAGCTAGGACGAAGCATGCATGCCCCATCTTTACTAGGCTTACCAAGTGGTATTTCTACCCTTAATTGGAGCACAGTGGTATAATTTGTATACAGTAATTGCAATGGAACAGAAGTGATTCTGCGCAATTTTGTTGTAATTTTCCCTTCTGGAAAAATAAAGGTGGGAAGCGTGAAGGCAAGGAAGAAATGACTGTCTTCAGTGTTCTTAACCGGCAACCAAGGTCCATGTGGGAACATTGATACCGGCCTAAGCATCGAATGGATAGCTTGTATCCTTGCTGGTAGCAATTTAACGCATACTTTGGGATGGCCATAGCGACGCAGCCTGTGTAACCAATATTTTGCGCAAGGACAGCCACAATGGAGCTATTGCTCAAAGCTTCACGGTTACGTCAGAAATTGACCATAGCACAGGAGTTACACACTGTCTTAAAAAACAAATATCTGGCCAAAATGATGTCTACCTCATTGGTTAGTCGTCATGCTGTGTTTTCCCTTACCCACACATGTTAACCATGTATTATTCTGCAAGCAATGTGTGCATTAATGCATTACTGCAATGTGAGGGTAGTAAGTCTACTCTAATAACCAAACAATTAATGGGGACCCTGAATTCTGTATAAGTGCTGAAGTTATGATTTCTCTCTTTATGGCAATGACCGATCAGTCAGGACCATATGAACTTGAATTCATTTTGTACTCATCCTAGAGCTTCAGCCAGTTTGGCGCACGCAAACCAAAGTCAGTTGCTTTTAAAATATGAAATATCCTAAGGATTGATCCCATTCTAGAAAGATAGACTGGAAACATAAATGACTGGATCATTTCTTAGAATGCAATGAACTCATATATAACATCTACAGGTCTTGGATAATGCTTTTCTGTCTACAACTGCGACACTTCCACATGACCGTAAGGAGATTCTAATCATTATTGGTTAATGTCAATACAATGTTAACTTTGCTCTGACAAGTCTAATTTGAGACATGGAAAAGGGCCTATGAGCGAATTGGCAGAGCTCCAGTGTTTTGGAGACTTTTCCGTACTTTACTTGGCGGTGTCTCTAAGGATTCTTGAAAGGGAACCATTTTGAGTCTTCGACATCTGCAAACTCGCTGTTTTATGCCTGTAAAGTTGGAAGCGCTATTTCCAATATTACTTCACTGCAGGGTGGGCAAATCGGCAGGAATATATTGCCTTGGTCATGGATGAGGATGTTAAGGTCGCAAGGGATATGTACGCTCATGGCTCAATCATTCTTGGAATTTATCTCATATCATACATGCCAAATTCATTGCTGTTCATTGGTATTGAGCACACTTTGACTCGGCCGCTTTTCATGGAGTGATGTACTTAAGAAGGCTATCTTCCGCAGCATTATCAATCAGTTTAGTCTACACAGCAGTTGGACCTATTTATCAGGCATTGCTCCTTTATGCAGCTCCTCAGAAAATCACTCGCATATCCAGATCAAGATCTATATCGCGTATTTCGGAGTGATTCCAGTTGTTGCAGTTAACCACCGTCTTTGCTACCAAGCTTTACATTTCCGACTGTACTTTATTACTATCCAATCATGGGTTGCTTCCCACATGTTATCCAATATGTGAAGTCCTTATTCCAAAACCAGACGGCCAAGGAGTCAGAGATAGTAAGTAAAGATTCCTGCGTATTCTAAGCAGAATCCTCACCCATATTCCATATATCCTTCTAACTAACCTCTGCAAGGACGAGTCGCCGTATTCCTTGGCTGACGAGGCAGTAAATTGGTCAATACAAAGACCCTTGTCTCAGGATCATACCAGTATCAGCACAGTGGCTACAGAAATATTGGATGAAAATGAAGAGCAACGATCAATAGTAGTCAACGAAGAAATTACCGGACGAAAACTAGGGCAGGTGCAGACTATGGTTCCTTTAATGCAGCTGAGCAAGGTCAGATTCGCCAAGTCAATATGGAGTTCATTCCCCGTCAGAATTGCCACCTACAAGTCCAAAAAAGGACAGTTGGTGAGTTTAGAGCATATATTTGATGATGGATGGGTAATATAAGGCTGATTTCCCAACATGTGATCTCTATGCTAACCATTCACAGGCCCTGTGTAGACTGATGGGAACCAGGGTTTATGGATTCATTCCAGGAGCATATCTCTCCAGCACAGTGCGCATAGTGTGTCCTCAGCAATTCCTACCGAGACGAAACTCTCTGTAAAACAGTCTATGGCTATCGCAGCTGTCCAATCTGGTCGTTTCTTGGGAAGGATCTCACCGTGGAAACCCTATTAGCTTTGCAATAAATATTTTGTTGTCGCCAGTGACCTTTACAATAATATCTCCGCTCAGTCATTCATGATAGCTGTTGTTTGCGGGTGGCCTCTAGAAACAGCGTCTTCCGCAGTCCGGAACTCACTCAGCTGTCCGTTCAAAGTCACGGTGGCCACTTGGGATAAGGTGCGCGCCAGGCGCTGCACATGAGTGACATATCTAGGGTGGCTTGGGTCGAAGTCCACGTCATCTGTAATGGCATCGCGAAGGTTCTTCGTTTTGACAAGCATGCAGTATTCAAATAATGCAAGAGGGGCGAGGTGCTGCCCACGCCATTTGTAATTGTCAAAAACGCTTATGGGGCTGGTGTCACCAGTTTCATATGTGCAAGCTTCCTCTGCCATGGGATCTGATGAGCGATGAGTGTCAAGCTTATGTGGCTGAACGATCGCCCGGACATAATACCTTAACCACCAGAGGTTGATGCGGATGAAATTGTAGTTGACTGTGTAGTAGGTGCGTAATTGGAGCAACATACTGGCGACCTGCACGCCACTGACCTCTCGGTCATGAGAGAGGGCGTTAAAGCAGCGAAGCGCAAAATTTTCCATACCTTTTCTCGAAGTCTTAGGCCTGTCGACGTTGGCGGCTCAGAAACTGTTGCTTTCTCAATGGACTGTTTCAACAAAGCCGCCTTGGCTACCACCTGCCAAGGAGAGACATCGCCTTTCATGGTGTAGTTAGTGATGTAGTAGATCAGAGACAAGGACTTAGAGACTGTTGGAATCAGAGAGATGTTCCAAGGGTTGATCCGGGCATAGTTTCGAGCGAGGTGAATCAGTCCGAACTCATCTACCTTGGAGGCAGGGATGAGGTCTCGAGGAATGCCAAATCGACAAGCGCTGTTGGCAGATCCCATTTGCCGGTACTTGAAGCACGTGGCAAAGTGACAGGTCGAATGGACTTGCATTTTACAAGCGACACAATTGCTGTCATGGGATAGTCGGTGGCATAAGTCGTGATTGGATTCTACGTCTTTGGCCGATGGCGATACGTTGGGAATATTCATCTCGGGGTGCTGCGAAATGCTGCTATCAATGCCATGCGTGATGATCAATTCCAGGTATTAAATCATGTAAGCCGCAAAGTCGCTGTCCCGTAGGAGTCGATTCTGCAAAGCGGAGAAAGCCAGATTGCCCCTCGCCCATGCTAATCTGTGGAGATGTAGCATACCTTGACCATTTGTCTTGACCACAGCAGAATGGTCTGGTTCTGCGTCTTCTGAGGCCCTTAAACCCTTTTTTTTTTTTTTTTTTTTTTTGTAAATAATGCGCCAATGAAGTATCCAATGCCTTAGTCTGAACAGCCAAAGCCCTTGGTGGGCCCTCTGGAAGACAATACCCAGACAACGTAGGTGGATCAGGCCCATTGAGAAGTTCATTTTCCCATACTTCCTACATCTCTTCATGACACGGGAAGAATCCCGGACAATGATGTCGGGTATGTTGCTGGTTGACATGTAAGGTTCCCAGCAAGGAATCAGGAAGTGGGTCTTTTGCTCAGGCCACAAGATTCATGATCTGTTTAATGTGTCTCTAAAGTGACTGATCGTCAGCACTACTGCATGTCAGTTTCTAGGCGCGACCATTCGCAGATCCAATGGAAACGTCCTTTTATGTTGCTAACTAAGATTGTAACAATCTCTGGAATACTAAGGCTTCCTATATCTTAAATGGAACTAGTACATTCGCTGGATAGTGCACGAGTGCCTTGGTTGCGTACAAGCGAGTAGAACGGTATTGTATATTAGGGTCTGGAAATAGTCTCCAAAAGTAAGCTGGGTGATGGAACCATCCTGTACGTTTGGTATTTCTGAGAAGCGGAAATAACACGGAGCTTTTGTTTATCATGAGAACTGAGATCTATCCCTGCATTATGGGAAGAGCCCAAAAGCTGAAAACGAGCCAACCAGAAAGGCGATCAGGCTTGCAAGAATACCGGAGGGGCCATGAGTAGCACAGAAATTGCAAAAATAGCTGTAGTGTTGAGTAAGGGCGAACCGACGATGTCGGGGATCAGAAGGGTCAGTGACTTAGAAATTAGTTACGTTAACGTTTGTGGTCAGACTCACATGGAATGTCACAATGTTGTCATGGGATCCTTCACTGAGCATAGCCCATCCACTGTAGAATCTTTTCACTGAATCTGATATTCCAAAGTGGTAGCTGTAAGGGAAGAAAAGGGTATATATAAAGGCAATGCCATCTCGCACTTAATCAGTTCAGACAACTACCGGTAATCCTTGTGGTTATATTAAATACTCAGACATTGCCCTCTTAAGCTAGGTATACAATGGTGAAAGCACTGATAATCTTTGTAGTCGCGTGGGGTGAGTTTCCTGTTCTGTCAAACATGATCCAACTTTAAGCTAACAATGGCTTGAACAGCAACGTTTATAAGCACGTCCTGGGCCCAGTCATGCTCCCCCGCAGTAGGTCATCTACCTGTTATCCTGAATATATGTGACTAGTTTGACACTTTGAAAGTGCCCTGCTGGCTTGACTTGCTGTAGCGGAGTTTGCAGATTACTGACTATTGATACTCAAAATTGTGGAGCATGTACTCATACCGTATGTTTCCCTACTTGCTTAATATATGAGAATTACTGACCATGCTTGTATAGTGCCCAGCCGGCTCAATCTGCAGTAATGGCGTTTGTGCCTGCATTCTTAACAATAACCAGGCACCCTGTGCTGGTAAATGTGTACGTGCAACTACTTTTAAGTTGTAAGTGATACCTGATTTATGACTAACTTCTCTTGGAAGTGTGCATCTGGTCAGACATGCTGTAATGGTGTCTGCACAGCTCTAAACACAACATCTAACTGCGGAACATGTGGCAATGTTGTAAGTATATCAAAGTATTCCCCATGATATTATTGTTAAACCCTCTACAGTGCCCAGCAGGTCAAGGATGTTGCAATGGTGCTTGCACAGCACTAAATACCGCATCTAACTGTGGAGCGTGTGGCAATGCTGTAAGTCAGCACCTGGCATGGAAAGACATGAGCAATACACTAATGTAGATAGTGTCCTACCGGTTCAACTTGTGCAAATGGTGTTTGTATTTGTGCACACACTGGACTGCCTCCCTGCAATGGGCAATGCGTGAGTAGATTTCCAGCTCCCATCCCCTACAGAAGCATGACAACCTGACATTGTGCTGGCTGAAAGTGTTCAGGTTCAGGTCTTGCGTGCTGCAATGGGGCCTGCACTAACTTACAAAATAATGAGGGCGGTTGCGGATCCTGTGGCACAGTAGTGGGTCCTACCAATGAAGATCTAACTACCGAGTGATCTTATGACTGACTTGGCGACTTTAACAGTGTGCAGCTGGTCGCAGCTGCTGTGGCGGGACTTGCACTGACGTTACTACCACCACTAACTGCGGATCATGCGGCAATGCTGTGAGCCTCTTGCACATTTACTTACGAAGTCATAACTAACCCTAGCTTCGGAATAGTGTGCGGCAGGTCAGAGCTGCTGCAATGGGGTCTGCACTGATGAGGCTACCGACACCTCAAACTGTGGAGCATGTGGTACTACTGTGAGTCGGCTTGCACCATTTTATAACTTTACATCTATAGCTGACTTAGTATGCTTGAAGTGTCCAACAGGTCAAGGTTGCTGCGCCGGGACTTGCACAGACCTAACCACTACTACAAACTGCGGAACATGTGGTAATGCTGTAAGTCATTTACAATCTGTTGTTACCCATGAGAGCGTAGCATTAATTTCGGGTAATTGCTAGTGCCCTGCTGGTTCAACCTGCAGCAACGGTGCTTGTGTCTGTCCTAACACCGAATTGCCTCCATGCGGGACCACCTGTGTAAGTTATGCTTATTTCCTCTGCGGTAGAGCAGGAAACTGACTTTCTGTTATATAGTGTACTGATGGTACTCTTGCGTGCTGTGCCGATACTTGCACTAACACTCAGACCGATCCTGCCAACTGCGGTACCTGTTCCAATGCTGTAAGTCAAGCTCTTAATATTCATCACCGCATACAGTGGTCGAAAACTAAATTACTACTTCCCATAGTGCACCGGAGGTACACCCAACTGCGTTGCTGGAGTTTGTTCTGCGTAGGAACATTCGGAGAATTAGTGAGTTGAGCCAATATGTCAGAAAGTTGAACTACGTATTGACTTAGAACCTGTAGTTTTCCAAGAAACTCAATAACCGCCCGAATATACCATGGAATATGACGTGAGAGTTCAACTTTACTAACCTTTTCTTGCGGCACTCAATTCAACATCGGGGCGATCATGCACATCTATTGTTTTCCAATTGATCGTTTCATACTCTGCAATTTTCTCGTGTAATGCTTTGATGTGCCAGTGAGCTCAACCTCACTGGTAAACGTTGTCACATTTCGATTTTCCAACTACAATGGCAATCATATCTGAGACTTCTGAATGAACGAGTTATATGCGCTATTAAGAAATTAGTAGTATTGATAGAGAATTAATCTTGTGACTCTATCTCGCCACAGGGATCAAGCCCACAGCTTCGGCAAGTAGTCAACTTGATGTAGAAGCCTAATGCAACATCATCAGTGGATTTGACGATCTACTATCGGCTCGCTTTCGGCTTTCGGTCTGGGAAAAGGAATGTGAATGAATATATCAAGATCAAAAATGAGGTAGTGGCTCTAGGCTGACTATTGCGGTTCTGCTGTAGGAATAGCAACATGGTTTACTGGCTAGAGTGGAGCAGAGTGTTATCGGTGAAGGCCAATGTAAGTGCCAGGTATTAAGCGCATTTCATTATACCGCTCTTCTTACCACGTGATCACACTGTAGAGCTCTCCCTAGCAAGTAGATACCTCTGCAGTGATCATAGAACTATCGATTTCACTTCTGTGGCAAGGAGCCCAAAAAGCAGGCCATGAAAGCTTTCTAATCATGACCACCGAAGGGCGCCAGGGGTTCTGCAGTGACTGGAGGACAAGAGCTTGAGTTTACTAATTATTAGACTCACATTAACTTATCTTACCAGCATTTCACGAACAACTCACTTAATGTGATACTCTGAATAAGCTCGCGCGTCATATGGCTGGGAGCCTCTCCAAGGAGGCATCAATCCGCAAGTCAGACCAGGCTAAAACCCTGCTGGCGGGTGACTCTGCACACGGAGATTGTACGCCAGAATCGACATATCGTAGTGGTAACCTGCTGCATATTGTCCCTATGCTCATGAGACCCGAGGCAATGGTACACATTCTGCAACGCCTTCGCATTTGGTAAACAAGCTCTACTCCTCAGTGGAATGGAATGAAATCCTGTTCATTGCATCATTTATATGGGTGTCTTCAGCCATCAGGCCAATGCTGGTCGCCCTGGGTAAAGGAACATGGATATGGCACATTGTCTGAATATATGGTCGATCGATCAAGCGAAGAGCTATCTGGCGTACTCGACTTATCAACCGTGCTTGTGCTTACACGCACTTATGGGAAGATCAATGGACTTTCGACTAATCTCCAAAGTGTTGTATGCTGCGACACTAGGTTGAAATGTTGGCAGACTAATACCTATTGCAAAGGTACTTAGTCTTCTTATAAGGACACAATTCCAGCAGTATGTTCTGTAGCAGTTAAGCTCGGAAAGCCACCGCTTCGTGTCTAAACTACGGTTTCTACGTTTGTTTGGCCAGGGAAGCTCCGATTCCATAGCTCTAATAACCCCAAAACATGGCATGCCTAAATTGCTGAACTATGCTAGAGGAAAACAGCATAGCCCGCCATTAACAGTGGTAAGAGACATCAGAATGGCTTTTTGCATGGTTTTATATGCAATGAACATCGCATATACTAGAGCTCATCTGTGGGCTGACTTCTTTCCGAATTGTAGTTTTAATAATTTCGTATTGGCCTCACATGCGACATTCAACGCACCATGTAACTATT